ATTTAATTGTCCTGATGATATATGATGCGCTAGTTATTTTATTTCTCCTAAATATAATTGTTTATTGGTCGGTCCTTCAGATATGCAACGGCCTGCTGTCAGGTTGAGCACAACATCTAGGATGAGAACCTGTGACGAGCAAATTCCTGTACTGATAAAGTTCGTTAAGCCAGTGTTTGGCTTTAATAGTTCTCATGTATCCATATCTGGAGGGCAGTTGCAGAGGTTAGCATCTCCACTTACGCCAATCTTCCTGGATGAAAATATTTTCCTGTTAAGTCACAAAGAATAACATCATTACTATCGTGTACTAGTCATGGCTCATGGAGTTAGTGTTTCTTATGTATTTCCAGCTTTCAAGAAATGAGTAGAAGCATGTACACTGTCAATATACAAGCCAGAGATGATTTTGTTTCTGTGAGCATCCCTGAAAATGTAACTGGTGATGTTGCTGGAAACATGAACCTACAATCTAATATTCTCCGGCTCAAGCACTGTAATATTCTATATTTCTGCTCAAGCTGACTTTCTTTTGCTTTAGAGATACTTTAATTGCTCAAGTATACAATCAATCTTCTTTTAATCTTTTACAGATACTGTACCAGCAATATCTGAAGCGCTTTCCATCTTGGCAACTTCTGCTTTCGTGGTTACGTCTTTTGCAGCAGGGCTCCTCACAGTTTCAACCGCTAGCCTCCAATCTGTTGGTGCATACTCAAGACCAAGCTCTTTAATGACATCTGATCCTGCTAGAAATCTTTTTGTAAATATCCCATCTTTGACAACTTTATGTTAGACTTGATGATTGTCATGCAATACAGTTCGCATTCCATGTGGGTACTGCTTTGGTCGTTAGATACACAAGGCAGGATATAAATTTTAGAACTCTTAAGTCTCTTAGTGAAGGTCATGAAGTTGTTTGGCAGAGGAAACGAGTTGTTCCCTCCTTATATAATTTTGGATAATCCTACCTTGTGAGATAACTTTTGGGGTTTAGTTAGGCCCAAGGTCTATTTCTTAACATGGTATCAAAGTCAGACTCATTGTTGCTATTGTGTGTCGCGATGTTGGGTCTCCATGCTATGTTGTCCATGCTCCAGATGTTCAATTCCGGCATTCGAGAGGGCGTATTAAGTGTCCCACATTGGTAGAGGAAATGATTTGTTGTCTCCTTATATGGCCTTGGGCTATCCTCACCTCATGCGCTAGCTTTTGGCGTTGAGTTAAGTCCAAGGTGCATTTTTATTTATCCATTTCTGAGATGTATTCTTGCAAGCAACAATGAGATGAGCATTTGGTTAGCAAACACATTTTTTGAAATGTTCAAGTATCTTATATCCATTGAGCTTAATTGAAATTTACAAAATTCTTTGATCCATGACATTGTATTCTGAATACACATGCTTTCTTTTTGTGTCTTGAAACAGAGAATAGCTTGCCACATCCAGTTTTTTGCGTTGACGAGATGGTTGCCAGTTACCTTGCCAGTTGAATACTATGAATTTGCTAGAGGCCTGCAATGGAGTGTTCCCTACTTCAGTCTCCCATGGGAAATGGCAAGCATGCATCAATTTATGATGGGACCGGGTTCAACAACAGACCCTCATTCATACGGCTCTAAAATCAATGATTTTGGAATGAAGCCAGGCAAATACAATGTTAACAAAGCTGCAGCATTATATGGGTTGCCACTTAGTCCTATGGAATATAGATCAATCTTCGGGGTAAGAATTTATAAACTTTATAATAACATAAATATTTGCTCCATGATCATGTTATTGAATGTTCTTCTCAATGGCAGAGCCAGGATCTTCTTCCGGAAGCTCAGTATATCGTGGATCCAAAATATTCTAATGGGTAAGTTTTGAAAGATGTCTCATGTCACAATATTTTGAAGTGGTCAAAGGATGTGTACCTTTTCAATTCATTGGATAACAGCGCGATAAATCTGTGTGTCTGAGGTGTACTTTCAACTGATTTCCTCTTTTTCAACACTTAACTAACATGCAGTAAAGATCAGGATTACTGATAGTAAATCACACTACCTTCAAACCAGGTGAAAACAGAACTTTGGCTGTCACAATTCAACCCTCTTAAAGAGAAATAAACGTTGATAACATGTCAATTTGTCATGCTAGACCACTCCATGACTGCTTTGGCATACAATTAAATGTACAAAGTAAGACATACCAACCATGCTTCAGCTATTGGAGCTTAGGTTTAGTAAGAAAAAAAAAGGATGATCAAGCATGTACCTGAAATATTTATCTCAAGCTTATAAGCAAAAGATCGGAGATTTAGCACGTGTGAATGAATAATTCATCTGATGTTTTCAGGTGGAGGGATTTCAACAGAAGCATGTTTTGGTTAGCTGTTATTGGGGGCAGCTTGATATTGTTGCATGCTTTGGTCCTTTTTGTTTTAAGACTGAGGAAGGACAGAGAAAAAAAGTGGAGCTATGGAGCCTTGGTTTTTCCAAGATTTGAGATCTTTCTTACAATTCTGGCTATACCTTGCATTTGCAAAGCCTCAGTAAATGTAGTTAAAGGTATTTCTAATTCTTATGCACTATGCTCCTTTCGCATTGCAATGAGTGCAAACACCGGGTTTTCACAGCTAAAAATGACAGGATATATCTGTAATGACTGATATCAAATACAGAATATTTATCTATAACAGTTAAACCTCACTTCCCTTAATCGAATATTGATTGGGTCACAAGGTTCCATGTGCTACATCTTTTAGAACTGTCATTGTTGAAAGCTCGTGATTTGCAGATATTTTGTTATATGCCTTTCTTCTTTCCTTAAAAAAGGGACAACCTCATCAATTATTAGAAATTAGGCACCTGGTTGCTGCATATATCTAAAAAATGTCATCTAGGATGATAGTTCTTTAGCAGCTTTATTATGATCCTAAATAATCCTACTACTGGCATGTACCCTTTGATGAGAATGTTCAATAATAGAGGAGATCTGCACACTTTACATTTTCTTTCTGCATCATTTCAAGATTTGTAAATCTTGTTTACGAAATCACAAATTTTGTTCTTATTTTCTTCTAGGAGGATCATCTGCAGGAATTGCTGTTGGCATTTTGCTGTTGGGATTAGTATCATTTCTATTGTTAGCATTATTTTTGTTCCTCTCTATTGGAATAACATTAGGGAAGCTACTGCAGTATAAGGAGGTACACCAAGTAGGGCAGAAATTCCATTGGTATGAAGAATTAGTCCGAGTTACCCTAGGTCCTGGTAAAAGAGGTCAGTGGACATGGAAAAATTCGCGCGATTCTAGACATATAGTCATGTTTGGGCCTCTGTTTGAGGATCTAAGGGGTCCACCAAAGTATATGCTCTCTCAGATTGCAGTAGGAAATCCTAACAAGCATCCTGACAAAGTCATTGCAACAGACGATGAGACGGAAGATGCGGAAGCACCTTGCATCCAGAAGGTGTTTGGGATTCTAAGAATATACTTCACATTTCTTGAATTTGTGAAGCGTGTTTGTCTTGGAATTGTTGCTGGTACTTATTTGAAGAATTGGTCTTCAAAATCTCCCATAGTTGTCCTGCTTACCATCACTTCTTTCCAGCTATTCTTCATGCTTCTGAAGAAGCCTTTCATTAAAAAAAAGGTTCAGTTGGTTGAGATCATCTCAGTTGCCTGCGAAACAGGTATTTTCGCTGCTTGTATTGTTCTCATAGGAAGAGATTCGTCCAGAAATGAGACAGCAATCGGTATCACCATGCTTGCGCTTTTCTTCATAGCATTTTTATCTCAGCTTGGAAATGAATGGTATGCATTATACAGACAGACAAAGAGACTCGGTGCTGAAGACAAGTCTTTCTGCTCTGGTCTGAAAGCAGCATCAATTGGATTCCTCTTGTTTTTCATTCCTCAAAGATTGATCAGAAAGCTTGAAAGCGGGTCTGCACTGTTAGATCGTGTACTCAAGGAAACCGGGGATGTTACTTCATCTTGTGACAGGAACCGGAGTTCTGGTAGTAGAAGCTCAGGTACTGATAGACCATGGCATAAGCAATTCAGAGAACTAGCAAAGTCCAGCTTTAGTAAAGATAGTAATGTAACTACAAGTGATCCGTCAACAAGTCGTGTCAGATGGAGTGGATTTTGGAACCCTAAGAGAAGTGGGAGCTCATCAAAAGATTCATCAGCAGACTTCAAGTCAAAACCAAGAGGATTGCACAAAGATTTAGAAGCTATTTTTGCTTCCAAGTCATAGACCTCTCTTATTCATACAACATTATGGAATACATGAGACTAATATTCTGGCTTTACTGGTTACTTGACTACAAAGGTGGATCTGAAGCGGGTTCTGTGAATTCAACTGAACCCTTTGCTTCTAGTTCGAACTATGTAACCATGTATTTGTATGCAAAAAAAAGAAGAAGAAGAAGAAAATGTATACATATAATAAGACTACACTTATTCTGAACTCATTGACTTAAGTTTTACCTGAGCTTATGTATTTATATTTTGGATTGGATTTGCCACTGCTTGACTGGTATCTGTTCTTATGTTTTTAGGAGGTTCATGTTATATTTCCATAATAATGTATAGCTCTCAAATATAAATGCATGTTGTCTATGTCATTACTAAATCTTTTCATTTTTCATTTGTATAATAAATTGTCCTTGAAACAATAAAAAGAGGGACTATGCTTCATATACTAATTTTCTTTCACCTTTCTTCAGGTAGTAGTGGAAAGAGGAAAATATAGCACTATGAAAATTGAAAACTAAATTTGGCCAATCAAAAAGATAAGTAAAGTCCATGTAAGTATATTCCCCCATGTCAACAACTTTTGCGACGAGGAGAGAAAAAAGATTAATTACATTAAAAGTAAAACTTTTGCCAAAGGTTTAAAATATTATAATAAACTATAAATTTAGGTCTAAAATTTTCCATTATGTATTTAATTAACTCAAAAATGAATGTGTCTAATATTAAATTTAGTGATGAATTAAACAGGTATCAAATTTATACCAGACACCACTATCAAAGAAGAAAAATATTAGGACGAGGAATCGTTAGCCAATTGGATTGTGAAAGTGCATAAAATAAACGCAATTGATGCCATCTCCGTTTTCTTGAATAAAAAGTCAATACAAGAGAGCAGAAGTGTCATTTCTGGAACACGAAGCAAAACCCAGCTTCAAACACCTGTTAAGCTTATTCGGCTATCTTTGATTGTGTTAATAAAGGAAGGAGGCAATGGGATCAATGTTCAGTTCACCTCAGTTTACCAAAGAACAAATGGAGATCGCTCTTACCAAAGCCAAGCAGGTCGTTTCCTCTAATCCTGTTGTTGTATTCAGGTCTGTCTATATTCCTCTCTCTCTCTCTCTATCTAATTTTCTGGGTTTTTTTATTTTTAATTCGTTTATGGTAGTCAAAAGAGAATTATTTTTTACTTGGGTTTTATGTTTATTGGGGAATATGAACGGGTTTCGTGTAATTTGGTCAATTCTTATTTGTTGCAAAGATTTGGGACGTCAAGAGCTTTCAATTTTGTCTAGCTTTGGTTTTGTAATTCAAGATGAGATGGAGTCTTCCAATACAACACTCAAAATCAAAACTGTGCTTCTCTGATAGTATGTGTTTGTCTGTAACCCAATAAGAATCCGGGGAGGGGCAAAGCTATGTATAGCTAGGGGTTCAATTTGTGGAAAAATTACACTGGCAAATATAGTAAAAACGAATTTTCTTGGTTGTTTGAAACTCCCCCACATGATGGAGGATTCTAGTGTAGTCGCAAAGGCAATTCAAACTACTGATTTTTGGTTGTTTGGATCTTTCTCATATGAGAGGGGATTCTAGCGTAGTGGCAAAGGGGTTCAAAAATACTGATTTTTGGTTCTTCAAATTCTACTGTAGTGGCAAAGGGTTCAAAAATTATGGTTTTTGGTTGTTTGAATCTCCCTTACGTCAGAGGGGATTCTAGTGTAGTGGCAAAGGGGTTCAAAATTTTTGATTTTGGTTGTTTGAATCTACCTCACATGAGAGAGGGAGGATTCTAGTGTAGTGGCGAAGGGGGTTCAAAAGTTGTTTTAGGTTACATCTCCGTAAATTCCTGGTGCCACCATTGGGAATAGAAACATGATGGACCGGGGTGATAGATGTCAAGTTTTGTTAAAGAATATTGTTGTAACATTTTCTTCTCTCGGTAATCTGTCATGGTAGTTGTTCCAAGTATTGTAATATCAGAATAAGTCTTCATTGTATAAGGTTGCAAGCCATTTCTTTAACCTTCACAAAACATGTAATTGTTTTGAATGAGCTCCCTGTCTCTCATTTATGACATGACGTTTATGCTTATTAACAACATATGCTTGCTTTTCTTCATGCAGTAAAACATACTGCGGATATTGCACGAGGGTGAAGCAACTTCTTTCCCAGCTTGGTGCTACTTTTAAAGTTATTGAACTTGACCAGGAAAGTGAGTGACTCCGCATATCAATTGCTTCCAAGTGCTTTATATAACCCTTATTCCACCTCCTTGCTGCAAAAAATGTGTTTTCTTACCCTAGATGTAGTTTTATTGTCATGAAGCAAAAAAATATCCTCTTTTGCTTTGGTCATCTATTTTTTTGTATAGAAAGATTGACATTCAGCAACGAAAAAAAACCTTGAAAATTTCTATTAGGTGATTAGTTTCAATAGTCCAAGGAAGACTATTACATTTTATAGAATGTGCATGCTGATTCCTTATAGTAGGTATTTTTGGGATTATGAAGCAAGGTTCGAATTTCAACAGAGGCAAAAAAGTACTCCCGCCATTTCAACTAATGTGTCTTACCTTCTTATTTATTGATCTATTTCAAAAAGATGTCTCTTTCCTTTATTTAGTAAATTTTCAATTTCAACATTCTCATTTACCCCCCTAATTACAGTCCCTTATAAGGATGACAGAGAACAATAGATGTCTAACACCACAAAATTCAAAAGATAATTTTGGTGTGCGCTGTAAACAGTTTTAGTAGAAATAACAAAATTCAGAACTCTTCTTGACATTGTTAATAGTTTGTGCACAATGCCATTTGCCTGAACCTACCTAAATCTTGGTGGACAGACCTAAGACCTAGGTTGGTGAGGGGCATCAGATATTGATTGAGTAGGAATTATGCACCTGAATAGCTGTGGTGAGGTGCGAGCAAGCTGACCACACCTCACAATTATACAAAAAATTGAATTTGGTTCTGGAAGTACATAGAAGCACTAGAACTAGGTTGATCGAGAGATCTGTGTTGCTATAACATGTTTGGTTGCTCATGTCTTCTAATAGATATATCTCGATCTTTGTGGCTTCGTTTATCTTTGCTCAAAGAGTTCCTGAACCCCCTACAGTTGCTCAAAAAGGCTGTCCTTAATTAGTTCCTCCCATCCTTGTTTCTTGGATCATATATTATAGTTATGAGAGTTCTCTTTGTGATCTGAAGGTGATGGAGATGAGGTACAACAAGCATTACTAGAATGGACTAGGCAGAGGACTGTGCCTAACGTGTTTATTGGGGGAGAACATGTTGGTGGCTGCGACAGTAAGAATCATCAACTTATCCTCTTTATCTTTCATATATTTTCCTTAAAACTTGCCTACAGTAGCTGTGACATTTGTTTCTTGTCGTGTAGGCGTATTAGAGAAGCATCAACAGGGAAAGCTACTTCCCATGCTGAAGGATGCCGCTGCTATTCCCAACAATCCTGCCAAAGTCTAGAAAACAGTAGTTGTTAAGCTGACAATAAAAATGAAGTTGAGAGTGCTGTAACTTAACTGCCTCCTCTCCTCTAGTTTGGGTTGTTTAATAAGACGTTGGATTTCAAGTTCCTTTTTCTGTTCTTCCCTTGCCTCAGTCTCCTAAACATTTCCTTTTAGTACCTATTTTCCATTTTTAACTTGCCATCTGTTCCGTTGGGAAGTATATATTGTAGACAAGAGTAAATTTGTCACTTGTGTCTATTTCTTCCTTTACTAATTCACAATGGAGAAGATGATCTGAACTTGCATTTAAACATGAAAGAACTTGTAATTTGTGATAAGAAATGAGTAAAAATTACTAGTATAGTTAATCTAGCAATAATGATTTTGTCAAAGATAAGAGAGGTTAGTGTATGTTGAATATTATATCTTCTATGCCTTTTTAGAATCGAATCATATTCCAACAAAGCACATGATTTTATCTTTGGGCTTAGACTCAAGTGACTCTTCTTTCACCTGGAGCATTAATTCTCCATGTTTTTAGTATTGGTATTATTTGTCTACAATAAATTGATATATTCTGGAAAACAAAGATAATTTTTTTAATTTAGTCATAATAATTTTTTTGACTGTACAAAACAAGGAACAATCTTTTTCTCACCTTCTCTAATAGAGTGGTGTATCTATTAAAAAATTAAAATTAAAACACAGAAGAAGACTGAACATTCTATATTATGGATAAAATCAACGTTAAAGAAAATAAACACAAGTTTGGGGTGGACTAAATCTGCACCTATAACGCAAATATGAGAGATTATTGTGTTCTATTGGAAAAATAAGGATTATTTTGAACTTATGCCCAAAGATAAGGTATCATTTTGGACCATTACATTTCAGATAGATCTCCGATTCGAGAATCAAGGGTTTTCTTCCATAGCTTGAGATAGATTTCGGCAATGGCACGAAGGATGCCTGATTGGTCGGAACTTCAAGATGATTTGCTTGCTTTCATAGCTAGGCGTTTGAATCTGATTGAAGATTACTCAAGTTTCCGAACGGTCTGCAAATCCTGGCACTCTGCTGCTACTAAGAACAATTTTAATAGTGACCTACCTAGAGTTCCATGGCTAATGTTAGCGGAAGAGGAAGACAACACAGATGGAAGTTACTGTCGAAAGTTCTTCAGCCTCTATAATGGCATGATTTTGAAGAAGAAGATCCCAAAAGCTAGCAGACAAAAATGTATGGAGTCTATGGGTTGGCTTATCACAATCGGAGAAGATGAGGGTGAAGTTAGTCTATTACATCCCTTCTCCGGTGTTCGGATCGAATTGCCCCATCAAAATACCACCGAAGATTATAGGAGACGCCAGACGGGCAACCTATGTACTTTTTTTAATAGAGCAGTTTTGTCAGCTAGTCCTTCTCATACATCCGATTACATTCTCATGGTCATTGATGGAGGCAAAGGTTATATCAGTTTTTGGAAACCAGGAGATTTGAGATGGAACAGGATTATCTTGGACCAAAGCATTCACCCTGTTGCAAGTGGTCTTGATGTGGTATATTTTAATGGCTACTTTTATGGCGTAGATGGATTGGGCCGCATCATAGTTTGTGATGTTTCTGGCTCTCAATCCAGTAGAAGTCATATGGTAGCTAAGATACCATTTGATCTTCTTGAAGTTGCAGAACAATTGTACATCCTAGAATCACTAGGATCATTATTTGTAGTTTTGCGCAATGGAGTCCATCTAAGGTACTTGAGAGATGATTGCGACAGGATTCCACTTACAGATGAAGAGGAAGACCTAACATATGGAACAACAGATTTTCGTGTTTTCCAGGTTGATTTAGCTTCTGGCAAAGTGACAGAAACCAGGGAATTAGGGGACAGAGCTTTTTTTGTGGGTTATAATGCTTCTCTTTCAGTCCAAGCTTCTAAATTTCTAGGAATCAAGCCCAATCATATTTATTTTACAGATCATTATTTTAGATCATGCCTAGCCTATGAAGGAGGAGGAGGGTTTGACATGGGGGTGTTCAACTTAGCAGATGGAAGTATCCAGCCGCATTACAACGGTGTTTCCCTGAGTCGTATTAGTCCTCCAACTTGGGTCACACCAACTCTATATTGAGTTAGACACCTTCCTTTATTTACTCTATTTATTATGATGCTGTATGTTCTTGGTTTACCATGATAGTGACTATTTCTAAACAATTACAGCCTCCAGATGAGTGATATATCATGTATGTTTTCAGATAATTTGATTACAGATACTCCTATTAGTTGTTATACTTCCTTGCTTCCAATTATGTTGTGTTGGAATGCGAGCACTAAGCAAATAAATTACGTAATTATAATTAATAGTCACTGCCTTATCGCCAAAGAAAACAATTAACAAGAATTTAAGCAAAGAAACTGTGAAGATAAGGTATATCCTATTACAATGTGCAAATAGGGAAAAATCATGATTTCAGTGTATTGGCAAAGGGGTTTATGTTAGTTTAGAGGTGATATTAAGTTTTGATGATTTAACAAACTTAGGGATCTAACAAGGAATCAAATCCTTGTTATTCGGATTGCTGACACGGAAATGAATGAATAAACTCAGTGTGAGGAATATTTGTGTGTAATCATCAAAAAGGAGGAAAATGTTATATTATAGGTGTTTTGATGATCCTCACAAATGCAGGGACCTGGTCCCTGGCAGAGTGCTATTGTCCAGATACAAATGGGGTACAACTGTAAAGCTGTCATGTCAGGTGGTAGGTAAAAAGTGCAGTGTCCTACACCAATAGGAAGAGCGGACGAGATTGTATGCTTCAGTGTCTCACAAATACAGGGACCTGGTCCCAGACAGAGTTCTCTCGACCAGATCTATAATGGGGTACATCTGTAAAGCTATCGTATCAGAGGTTGGTGAGGCGTCAGCGTACTACACCAATCAGAATGGACGAGGGTGTTTGTCCAACGGGTAATAACTCTTTATGGTTGATATTTTCTACGTGACAAACACTATATTAAATTCATTCATCCAAAGAAGGAAGTCAGCCAACAAGCCTTTTCAAGAACTCACAAAGAAGTTTGCAAGGCACCTGGTCTCTGCAAGACTGCGATATGAAAAGGTGACAAGACAGTTGTCAGAAAAGCTGCCACCTCTGATGTGGTAGGTG